GGGGGGGGGGGGGGGGGGGGGGGAGGGCAGAGAGGAAAATGATACCAATCACTTGCACCTTGAGGATGCTCCACAGCACTTCATATAGGAGCCTGCCTTTCCTGTGATCATGGTGCGAGCTACCTTCTCTGGGAGTGAAAAGTCTCTGCCTCTGCTGTTTCAGAGACCCAATCCTGGAGGAGAAAGCACCGAGGAGCAGTTACACGGTGTTATAGTGTGCCTGAGCGCGGTTACACCATGTCCAGACCTCAGCTGGACGTGCACGTAGCCCTGCTGCGCTGCCCGGGTGGCTTCATGCAGCATTAGTCCCTGGATCTGGGCACTGGACCCCTTCACTGCGGGTGCCACCGAGCCCGGGGGGAGCTGCACAGCCAGATTTCTTCCCGCAGTTCTGTTCTCTGCTCTTCGGTGTTACCTGTATGTGGGTGCTCCTGGATATGAAGTGAAGGGCATGGGGCTGAAGCGGCTGTCCTGATACTAACGCCTTCTGCCGCGGGATTGCAGGTCAGCGGGGAGGGTTGCTGGGCCCGAGGAGCACCCGGGCCATACAGCTACACTCACGCTTCCCTGTTGTGTCGATGTAGCAGAGCAGTGAAAGCAGCATCGGGTACGGTGGCCACATCCAGACCGCAGTGTTTCATTCCCTGACGATTTCATTTTTAGAATAGAACAAAAGTTAAGAGGTCAATGATGGGTTTTGTTAGAAGTACAGCTTCTAACTTTGTTAGAAGTACAGTACTTTTGTTAGAAGTACATCTGAAACACAAGTTTCAGATGCTTTGGTGTTTTCCATTTTTTAATTGGCTCCTCCACAGCGAGCCACCTTCAGGCCAGGCTGGAAGCACATACCTGTGGAGACGATTTGCGTATCCCTTGCAGATGTTGGCTTCTCTTCATGCTGTGCTGACAGGGCAGGTTGGCTGGGGTAGACCAACTCTCTGCAGTCACTCTGTCTTCTGACACAGACACTGCTGTGCTGGGGTGATAGGCCGAGACGATAATCTGCTTTGTCAGAACAAATGGCCCCAACGGAGACCAGCTCCACCACAACAATCTTGTAGGTGGAATCCACAGTCCACTTCCAGGCTTCCTAAACATCTGATGCAACTTCCAGGGAGTCCACGTGCATCTTTTGCCAGCAGTGACTGGTCCTGTCCAGCCGGCAGGACCTGTCCAGGCACCGCCAGCAGCTGCTCAGAGGTTGTTGCAAGGGTCTTCTCCCACATTTCTTACCCAAGAGATTAACAGCCTACTGCTAGGAGACCTGAATCATAGAATCATAGAATAGTTTGGGTTGGAAGGGACCTCTAAAGGTCATCTAGTCCAACCCCCCTGCCGTGGGCAGGGACATCTTCAACTAGATCAGGTTGCTCAGAGCCCCGTCCAACCTGACCTGGAATGTGTCCAGGG